ACGTGTAGAACTGAGAAGCTCTCCTGTATTTAACAGGGCTCATTGAGTTTCTGTCATTCTGTCCTCTATTTTATTCAATTTTGTTCAGCGACTGTGGCACACGCGCCACTAGCTCGTAACCGTGTTGCGCGAACAATAGGGACGTTCATCGATCCGTACGTTTCCATTCCAACTTTCCAATTATACCTCGAGTGACGTCTTCGTTCGGTAAACAGCGCCGTTCTCCAAGATAACGCGCCGAGAGCAAAGGAAAGGCCCGCCGATTTAATTCACCGCGTATTGACAAGTCCGTTAAAGTCTCAGCTGAACAAATTCCATTATTACCGGCCGAGTTTCTGTTCACCGGCGTTGGGTGTTAATGCTGCAAATTTCCTGCCACCCTGTGCGCGCGCGCGCGCGTGTTAATGGCTCTCCCTCTTTCTCTTTACCCTTTCTCTTGAACGTAGTAAGACAAAGTTGCTCAAAGATTCACAGTTATGCATGTGTAATATTTTATTTTTTATTATGTATTATTTTAGTTTTTATTGTGTATTTCTATTATTTTATTTTTTATTATGTATTTGTATTATTTTATTTTTTACTCTGTATTTGTATTATTTTATTTTTTATTCTGTACTTGTATTATTTTATTTGTTACTCTGTATTTGTATTATTTTATTTTTTATTATATATTTGTATTATTTTATTTGTTATTCTTTATTTGTATTATTTTATTTTTTATTCTGCATTTGTATTATTTTATTTTTTATTCTGCATTTGTATTATTTTATTTTTATGCATTTATGATAAACTTGAAAATGCAAAAATGTAAATATAAAATTTAGATATATAACATACAGAAATATTTTGTAGTGTACATTATGTGCTGTAACATTTAAATATTTAATATTAAATATGTAAATAGATTCGTTCTAAAATCTAAGTTCTAAAATATGAATTCAGATGAATGTCCACAGACTGATGATCGAATAACGAATTAAAACAACGATGATAGAAAATTGTGACCGTACGGTACCGTTATAACGTGTAAGTAAATGGTACTAACGGAAATATACGCCTTATGCCAGTTTTACTAATGACTTTCACGGAAAATTTTTCACCGATGTCGCACACGGTGTAACTAGGCAAATAAAATGATTCTTCTTTCGCTTCTTTTCTTGAAATAATTTTCACTCTCCACTTTTTATTGAGCGTATATCGTTCTATACATGTTTACCATTTAAAATAAATGGCAGGAATATTTATAGTAATTTTATTATATTACTTATTTATTTATTATATATATATATATATATATATATATATATATATATAATGTATAATATCACATTATATTACATTATAATAATTTTATTATAGTATATTATTACATTATGATATTATAATATTTTTATTATATATATTTATGTATAAAATCACATTATAATAATTTTACTATAGTATATTATTATATTATAATATTTAAAACGCATAGTGAAGAACAAAAAAAATTGAATTTATTTTTTTCAAATATCAAATGTTTTTGTCATGTAACACTTGGTCTCTCACAAAGAAATTGTCAAAATTCAGACATCATTTTAAATCCATCATGCACTTGAAGATTAAAGCAATGCCCTCTTTACTTACTGCACAATTATCGTTTTCAATCGTTGAACATTACAATTAGACGATGAATTTAAACAAACTTCCTTATAATCAAAATTCGATGAAAAGCTGAAAAAAAGAAATTCGCACAGCAAGCTCTAGGAAGTGACGACATCACATCTTCCAAGACCAACATTTTTTGAATACTTTTACACAGACGTTCGGACTTTTACGACGATCGACGTAAAAGAAAACCACTTTGTGAAACGTCCATTTTTCACATCGTACCGCTTCAGTGTCTCTCCTTTCGCGCGTTGACTGCGCGTTTCCAACACTAAGTGCACACACACACACGAGAGAGAGAGAGAGAGAGAGAGAGAGAGAGAGAAACACGTGGAGTGGTAATTAAACGTGTGCACGTGTTCTCCGGGTAACGTTGAATTGAATATCACCGCAGACACGGTGTATGACGATAAATATCAGACAGCTTGATATAAACTCGACGCACAATAGCGTGGAGGAGGAACGCGGGCATTTCACGAATAAACCGGGACGAGAGAGACTGGACTTCTCTTTCTTTTCCTCGTTCGTTCGAGCTGCACAACCGCCGATCGTACCAAAGATACACAACGACGACGACGACGACGACGACGAAGACACGTCGTTGAACACGTTACGCTGATACGGCGCTTCGCCTCGCAACAACAGTCGCCGCAGCGCTTCCGGAATTTCGCGTTTCCGCCCGGGCAAGTACACGTGATCCCTTGGCCACGATACTATATATGTTTCGCGATGACGTTGAATATTTTTAATTAACCTGTTGGGGGAGGGGGTGTTGCGACGAGCATACTAACGATAATTTTCTACTGTTTTCTACTTTTCCACTGTTCTACCAGTAGACGAGTGGATTTTTGCCAGTTTGTAATTAAGAAATTTGGTACGTCGCGAAAATTCAACACATGTGAAGTGTACGTACTTGCGCGATTGTTGCGATACACGTGTTTTAATTGAATTATGTATAGTTGTCAATTGCAATTGGAACATGTGTATGAACGATATATGTAACACTTGTAATATAATTCTTATAATTGTTACGATACAGTTACATGATTATATGTAATTCAATTTCAACTACGTTATGTTGCAACTATAATTATAATTGTCGTGTTACAATTGTATATAACATAATTGAATTATATGTGTATCATGCATATACAATATTATAATATTATATTGTATAATATATATGATGTAATTGTTAATAACGTTATTAAATTAATAATAAACGATTCAATTTCAATTATGTTACAACAATTATAATTATCGTTGTATATAACTGAGTTACATGTGTGCACATATTGTATGTATCATGCATAACTTGTGTACATAAACATGATAATATTGTATACAGTGTAATTGTTACAATTGTTGTAATACAAAATAATTGAATTGCGTGTAACTCAATTTTAATTAACATACAATTACAGTTGTAATTATATATGTTACGTATGTTATACGAATTATATGTGAAATGTATATATAATGTATATACTTGTTACAACACAAAATAATTGTACGTAAACAATTGTAGCTATGAAAAATTTCTTCACCAAGACGCACAATTTAAAAGTTATTTCAGGCGTGCAAGTTACGTGAATCACCCTGTATAACATACATAACTCGCGTTGTACATTACATACGTGCTGTTTGCAAATACAGAATGTGTGAGATTAAAACATTTTTCAAACAATATCCATCCTCGTCCAAGCCTCGATGCGACGAAACTAATTTCATCCAGGCGATAATTAGAAAATTTAACCAATCTAACTCTTTTTTTTTTTTTTTTTTTTTTAACACGGTGACATCGGTTGTTTCAACGACAAACGTCTATTGTCGCACCGCGACCCAATTAAAATAGGTAATTGAAGACGCTTAAACGCGGCTTTCTTGTTTAATTAACGCCAGCCAGGAAGTCGTTGGATTAATTAATATCGTTGTTTCTCTTTCGAACGCGTACTGTTTTAAGCTATATAATCAGCTGATCACGTTGTAACATCCAGCGTATGTAATTCGAATAATATTTATCGCTCCTCCCGAGAAGGTTTAAGTTATGGGGTGTATTGTGTGGAAGAGTATGCAGCACAGTAATAATCAAACGTTTTGTTAAGTACAGTTTTTTTTTTTTTTTTTTTTTTTGAGCCATCGAACTCGTTGGTTATTAATTTCAATAGAGTTGCAGACAAAATGATAATAATGAACGGTTTTGTTCGTGATTTCTGTGTTAATTACATTGTATTAATACTTGCTTGAACGTCAATAGAATTTATAATGATCAAATGTTTCGTTTCTGATCTCTGGCGAATTAATTATATTACTATAATGCTCCTTTAAATACTAATGTGGAATTTATTGTAAGCAAAATTAATTATATATATAATAGTTTAGGAATTTATTGTAAGCAAAATTAATTATATATGTAATATATTAATTATATATATAAGTAATTATATATATATGTATAGCATAAATTAATTAATAATGATAATTAATACGAACTATTTGTTATAATGATCAAATGTTTTGATTACAATGACTCTTTAAATACCAATAGAGTTATTTCGCTTAAATTCGAAGAACGAGATAAATTAAGTTGAGGTTATGCTCCTTTAAATACTAATGTGAAATTTATTGTAAGCAAAATTAATTTTTTATATATATATAGCATAAATTAATTAATAATGATAATTAATACGAACTATTTGTTATAATGATCAAATGTTTTGATTACAATGACTCGTTTAAATACCAATAGAGTTATTTCGCTTAAATTCGAAGAACGAGATAAATTAAGTTGAGGTTATGCTCCTTTAAATACTAATGTGGAATTTATTGTAAGCAAAGTTAATTTTATATATATATGTATAGCATAAATTAATTAATAATGATAATTAATACGAACTGTTTGTTATAATGATCAAATATTTTGATTACAATGACTCGTTTAAATACCAATAGAGTTATTTCGCTTAAATTCAGAGAACGAGATAAATTAAGTTGAGGTTATGTCGCTGATGACCCAATGGAGGTTGAACATAACCTAAAAAAAAAAATCAATTGAAAAATAAAAAAACAGAAAAAGAATTGCAAATATTTCCAGTTCCATGTTCTAAAATTCTCCTTATTTTCCCTCTTTATCATATTTATTAACCTTATTTTTTTTCACTTATTTTATTTCAAATGAAATTTTAGCCACTCTTGTTTTTGATACTGTTCAAATCATCGCTATTTCGTGTACGTACGTTTTTTTTTTTTTTTTTTTTTTTTTTTTTTGTACAATGCACATATTTCAACAGTACGTATTAAACACAGCCAGTGTGTTTCTTTGAACAATTTCGATAATTCAAGCTGTCGAACGCTTGCATACCAGCAACAGAGACGCGAGCCTCGCGTATCGCTTATCACCCACCTTGTCGGACTTAGTCTTGCCAACGTGAGAGGGAGGAGCCATCCTCAGAGCTCTAAGCTGCTCGAAGTTGGATGGCTAGTGATACATTGGAGGCAGCATGCAAACGTTAAAAATCAGTTTTTCTTTCTTTTTTTTTTTTTTTTTCTTTTTTTTTTTCACGAAAAATATGTACGGAGAACCGGCGTAGAGAAGAAGTCCCTCAGGACGACTTACTTACCCAGAAGAGACGATATCTCGAAGTTTCTACACAGATTGTGTCGCTAGAACTACTATGTACAGTGTAACGAACACGTTCGCACGATTGAAAGTCAAAAAAAAAAGTTGTATGCTGATAAAAGATCTTTTAATTTACGCAATCCATTGAATGAACGTAAACACGTTTATTGTACACGTTCTAATCGTTTAAATTGGGGATCGATCGAGTATCGAAACACAGAGAAAGAAGGGAAGAAGAATAAGAAAAAAGACAGCTCCGCCGTGAGGTTTTGATATCGACTCTTGCGACACGTGCTTCGTCCCTGGGCATAATCGACCGTCATGCAACTCTCCTATTATTCTGTCTTCTTTTCTTGCATGCATTGCCAAGAGATCAAAGAGAAAGTGACGCATCACTTGGATCACTTGATCGTCAGTGAATCACGTACCATCGTCTTGCCAGTCCAGTCGAATTCACCGTCGTCGACGAAACCTCGTTTCTCGTACAGGTCGTGGAAGAGGTTCCTCAGGTACTCGTAGTCCGGCGTCTCGAAGAAATCCAATCTACGCACGTATCGCAAGTACGTAGCCATTTCCTCGGGATGACCATCGCAGAGAACCTCGATCGGCGTGTTCCGTTTCGTGTCGCCGATCTTCTGGTACCGTTCCTTCAGCGTGTCCGCTTTCAGTCCTTGCCACGGCAGGCTTCCACGTAGAAAGTACATCAGCATGTTCCCTAACGCCTCTAGATCGTCTCTTCTGCTCTGCTCTGATTGAACAAGTACAGAAAAACGAAAAGTTAGAGTCTATGATTGACAGGCGCAAACATGGTTTCTGACAAGTTATTAAGTCATAAATAACACTCGAGTCATAAATAACAACAATTATATTCTAATCTATGATATATTCGCCACTACTTGCAACTACTTGTTGCCATTTATCAGGTAGCTTCTCGATGTCTTTGCCTGGTTCTGATGTAAAAATGTTTTCGACAAACTCTCGAACTTGGTTGTCATTGGAGACTTTTGGGATCGAAAAAGATAATAAAACTGTAATGATGTGTAAAGATAATAAATAAAATTGCAATGCAGAGTTATTACAATTTGTACCCAAAAAACAGAAATTATTTATGACTCAACCCAGTGTTATATTGTCGATTTGAAGAGTACGTCAGAAACAATCAAACGGATGTCTCACAGAGTGTCCTTCTTTCTCCTTGCGAGAACAGATCCTCAGAAATATAAATCACGCAACACGTTGCCCGCGGGGCAGAAGAGAACGCGAACTACCAACTTACTTATAGGAGATTCTCTATATATCGTACGTCGCGTACGGCGCGTGCTCGCTCGCAACTTTCTCCGATGCCCGTGAAGAACGAGCACGCGGTGATATTTGAAAAAGTTTGGGGCAGATGGGCCAGCGGACGAATCTAAATCGGCCAAGTAAAAGTTACCTTTTCCAAGGTGCGTGTTGATGCTCATGTAACGCGCCGTGCCAGTCAGGCTTTTGTGTTCCCGATACGGTATGTGCTTGTTCGTCTCCAGGTCTATGTACTCTTTGGCCAGTCCGAAATCGATGATGTGGATGATCTTCTCCCGCTTGGTTGTGCATCGTCCTATCAGGAAGTTCTCCGGCTTGATATCGCGGTAGATCAAATGCCGACTGTGAACGTACTCTATCCTATGGAGCTGCGTGGAAGAAACGACATTTCCATTAATATTTCGAGTGCAGCCTTTGTAAATGTAACGCGAGACATATGGAATTCGATCAGATTTTGTAAGTGTGTATCGTCGTTGATAGTAAGGGGTCAGGACAGTTTGAAATTTTCAAAACATTGATTTTTTTTCTTATTTTAAACAGTAGTTTGAAGTCTTAGAAATAAGATACAAAAGGTCCTAGCCTTTAAAACGACCTATTTTGGGTATAATAATAGATCCGCGGATACAGAATAATTGAATTTGTATCACTGTTTACAACTTTGAGCAGTATTGTAAAGTGTAAATCGTGTGATTCGAATATTACTTTTGAATCGGTGAATCGAATATTAGGGGACTTGGATTCAATTTAGTTGTGAATCGTAAGAACTGCGAGCCGCGATATATAAGTAAAAAAAGTAAATAAAGGATACGTATGAAAAATACGACGTTCTGAAACTTTAAACGCATTTTTCTCGAAACTAGGTTTTAGAAACGGTGTGCAAGATATCTCGGTATCTAACCAACCGATTACTGTGAAACTTGGTACGTATCTTTAGTGTAACATTTACTAGGGATTGACGATCAAACATTTTTTAATTTTTAACAATTTCGAAAAATATAAACAAAAAACGTGGAAATTTTTGGCATAAATTCGATACATCAGAAACAAATAGCTGCCATTTTTTCATAATTTTCACAGAGATGAAAATGTTGGATCGTCGATCCCTAGAGAATATTGTTTACTTTCGAACTTTTTTTGCCTGTTTGGCTGGAATCATGCACACCGATAGGCAATGTAAAAAAAAGTTAAAAAGTTAAACAAGAGCCCTCTTCTTTTTCTTTCTTAATCTTGCTTTTTATAATGTGTTAAAATAAACCACAAAAGCTCGTGGTACAATCAAATATGTACTTTTCTTTTACCAGCCCTCCAAAGTATTCGTAATTTTTAGTCAAACTGTCCTGCCCCCTTAATTCAGACAAAACCTGATAGGAACTCGTAATATAATACGATTAAAATTTAATTCCACTTACGATTTGCGTGGCGATTTTGAGAACGGTCTTTAGGGTAAACCTCCTACCGCAGAGGTCGAACAGGTCCTCCAGACTTGGTCCGAGTAGCTCCATCACCAGGGCGTTGTACTTCCCGCAAGGACCGAAGTAGTACACCTCCGGTATACCCTCTGCGCACGATTCGTCGCGTTAATCGATCGGAATATGAATTATTTAAAATGGACAGGATACTCGTTCTGATACTCACCATGTGTACCTAATAATTTGTAAAACCTATATTCTAAGTGTAGCTGCGGCGCCTTTGACCTCATTGGTTCCTGAAAGAATCGGAACGAGACGTTGTTTTTAAAAAACGAACTGTCGATTTAACCAGGTTCGTACGTAAGAGCTTGTAAGTTCTTCTACTGAACTGAAGGAATTGAGCAAGATTTTTGTTGGACATCGACTTGGAATGACAAATTGTCAAAAACAGCAGTTAAGCAAGCTTCCTCGTATCTTTTCATATCGTTAAAAAGGAATTACGCTAACGGGGCGCGACTCTGCGACAAAAGTCGCGACCGTCTCGAATTTTAATGAACTCACCAATTTAATTGCTACATGCTCGTTATTGTAGAGGTTCTTCCCTGAAACAGAACGAAAGTTAAAACATCTACGTGTGCATTCTACGATTCTGTCGATTAAACAATGATGGCATACACGCCGTCACCGATATTTCTCATTGATATCTCTTTGTATAAATTGTGTTCTATGTTAATAAATTTCATCGATATAAACTGTTTTGTATTATATATTTCGCAGATCGCGCAACATATACATATACAGGGTGTTGCCATCTAGATTTATGTCATTATTATTACGCGTAGCGAAAAATACTTCAGACGAAGTTGAATGGTTTCGAGAAGCGCACACTTTGATGATACTAGCTTTCTTCTAGGTGGACGTGCAGAGAACATATGAAGGTCATCAACGTTTTTTTAAATAGAATCGTATATTTTTTATTGCATCAGTTGATGCGCCAAAGACATGGAAGAAGGAGGATAGTATTCTTATATTTACACTGCCTTTGTCTTTCACGCGTAGATTTTAAACAAAATTAAAATTAAAATATCTCCTAAACTGTTTTGTAAAGATTATCAACAGTGATGCAATAAAAAATATATGATTCCATTCAAAAAAAAAAAATTTAATGACCGTCATATGTCCTCTACGCGTCCACCTACAAGAAAAACTAGTATCATCGAAATGTGCCCCTCTCGAAACCATTCAACCTCGTCTGAAACATTTTTCGCTACCCGTAAATAATAAAGACATAAATCTAGATGGCAATACGTGGCGACCCACCCTGTAGTAGTAGTAAGTTCTTAAATAGAAAACATCAATTCACGTTAATTATATTAACGTTAATTTGTTACTCGACAAATGGCGATAAATATACCGGACTTTTGACAGACGATTATAAATTACGGTCAGCCGCGGGCGAGGGAAACGAAGCGCGAGTACACACAACGTATTATATTCTGTCACGTTCGTCTCCGCCTCCGTTTCGACAGCGTCCTAATCGCGCAATAATTCTCCATCGGGGGACGACTTCCTCCGTTGATTGCGCCTCGCGTGAGAAATTGGATTGGCCAGATTTGTGTGCGGCCAACGTGTGCGGTCGTTGCGGTATTACGGTTTACCGGTTATTAATGCGTACAAACGTCCCTCCTCGACGCTTTTAAATTTATAATAATTCGATTTACACGACGAGGCTCGCGAGATTATCATTCCTGACGAGTGAACCGTCTGAGACCGAGAGAAATGCATCTAGATGCAAGGTGTGGAGCTGCCCGTGTCATCTTGAATTTTAACCGCTTGCGCTGGCAAAGGGGGTTCGCGGACCGTAACGAGTGACCGAACCGTGTACAATAATTCGTCGCCTTTCTTTTCCTTTTGAACTCATCGGTATGACATCACTGGATAGAAATTATTAAGATGTAACAAACTTGTCATTTGTTTTGCCCGCGTTGAATATACTTCTATATATTTGTATATACTTATATATATTTAATATATACTTAAAACTGAGAAAATGTTGCAATGTTGGGACAAAAAATTCTCGACGTATGTACGTGGCACGTTATTCCAGCGCAAGATGTTAATTTAATTACGAACTTTGCAGAGAATAATCGAACTTACTGTAGCATTGCGAGATATTTGTGCAATATTGAACGAAAAAATGATTCGAATAACTTTGTAGTAGGATCACTTGAGGAATTATTATGCAAGAGCCAATACATACGCACGCGCTGATTGAGACAGTTACGACTGAGAATGTTACTTGTTCCTTTCCGACAGGTTAAAAATGTTACTTCGACTAACGATTGTCAAAAGATTGACAAATTGACGCCATTCCACTCGCGAGAGTTTATACGTTTGCCTGGTTCGACGTGTTTGTCAGAGGTCTTTCGGATAATTCGTCAAAGCGTTCGTTCACCGTAGGAACCAGGTGAAGCAGCGTTAACGCGAGCAAAATTTCATTTACAAAAATGGTGACGCGGAACAGAGGCTTCCAGAAGCCTCCATCCACCGTGGCATAAAATCTCGTTGTCAGCCGAATTCGTATGCGCAGGAACAAAGATACCTCCCCTCCCAGGTGGCCTCGCGAACGTCAACTTCGTGTCGCGAGGCAAAGTCGCCAACAACTTTACTGTTGCCAGCTGTTGTTCGGTTGTATCGCCACCGGGGGAACGAGGGGACGAAGGCGTTCGAAAACGAAAGTTTTCTACTTCTACTACTTCCGAATGGGCGGATAGAAACTTGCCTGCTAATTAAACAAGCGTGCATAATCCGCGAGCAGTTGGTAACACGATGTGTTTCATCGACTGGCGACCATTTGGCACGGCAAAGGCAGGTTCTTTGGTACTACTTCGCAAGGGAACTATCCAATTATTCACCGACACGAAACCTAACTAAGCTCCGTTTCGCCAAGGATCTATACGACCAGAGGCTCTAATCACCGGACTCAAGCGGTTCAGAGAGTTTCCAGGCGCCACTCTAATCGCAGTCGATACTGTTCGAACAATCGGACGAAAATCGCAAGGTAATATAAGCGGGTGACGTCGTTGGTTGAGACCAAACTGTTTCTTCCACCGATGCACGTCGAGTAACGTTGATCTAATGGATATAATGTAGGATATAATATATTATATTATATATATATTTTTATATTTTATATATATTATATTATATATATATTTTTATATTTTATATATATTATATATTTTTATATTTTATATAATATATATATTTTTTATATTTTATATATGTTATATATATATTTTTATATTTTATAAAATATATATATATTTTTTATATTTTATATATGTTATATATATATTTTTTTATATTTTATATATGTTATATATATGTTTTTTTATATTTTATATATGTTATATATATATATATTTATATTTTATATATGTTATATATATATATATTTATATTTTATATATGTTATATATATTTTTTATATTTATTATATCTATTACATTTATTATATTTATATCTATTATATTTTTATATTTTATATATATTATATATATATTTATATATTATTATATTATATACTATAAAGAAAGTGAGTAGAACAGTAAAATTCACGTTAAAGTAAAAACATAAAACCACAGATACAAAAGATCCTCGGACCTTCTAGAACCTGCGAAATCCCTAGAAAGAATAAGAATATACTACCTGAAGAGTATAAATGACACTCGAAAATAAAGACGGAAGTTAATTAGATTCTATGTGAGCTTGGGCTAACTGCACTTTTGAACAAACGTCGAATTGTACAAGTGTATAAATGTACAATTCTATATTCTTTTAAACTTACATAATATATACTGCAGGATATATACTGTTGATCAAAAATTTTAATATGAATTTTTAGAAAATTTTAATCATTACATATAATATATACTACTATGAAATATACTGATCAAAAATTTCAGGAAAGAATCGTTGTGTACTCTGTACAAAAATTCCAACTCCTCTGCGCGAGATGTTCCTCGGAACATTCATCTCAATTAAATATTCAACGATATGCATAGTAAACTAGCTAGCCGAATTAACCAGGTAAAAACAGTTTCGGCTTGGCCGAAAAGCGGAATTTAGACTAGATCAGCGATACTCGCGACTGAGCGGCGAAGCTCGCGCAAATCTGCGCGAGTAAAGACGACAATTGGAATCTCGGTCTCGGATCGCAGTCGCGCGGATCGCGAATGAATTACACGCGAGTGTAATTGACGAGTGTAGACACCACGGCGTTGAATCGATCGAGTGCCGGATCTCACGTGCCAGGCGAGATGAGCTTAATGCGTGCGCGTGAACATGAACGCAGCAGACGTTCGTGTGTGCAGGCCTTAACACGTGACGACGATGCAATGGATTCGCGATCGCTGGCTTCGGATTTATTTATCGCGACGATAAATAAATGCATATAAGAATAATTAAATAATACCGAGAAAATGTGGATGCCAAATTGATAATTCGAAATTAACACGATGAATTAATGAAAAACATGTAAATTATATATATTCGAATAAACGAAATTAATAATATTAATGTTCCAATTAAAACATGAATTCCGTGAAGTCATGTTGATAAAAAAAAAAAAAAAAATGATTCATAAATTCTATCATTAATACAAAAATACTGTATACTGGCCAGGCGCGATTAATGCCATCTCGTGATATCGCATCATCTCACGTGGAATATGTATATTTTTTCCTAACACGTGTTGGAAAGTCTAGCTTCCACTCTAATTCGTGTCAATCCATCGAGTGAAGATGCTGAAACATGTACGATCGTATGAAAATGCAAACGCTGGAGAGATCTCTCGTTGCGGAAACGTAGCCATGATCGTGGGGCAAAGAAACCGGATACAACCGGACGCGGTCACGTATGTTCAATTAAACGATTAATCGAACCGAAACGTTATCTCAGGACACGGTGTAACAACGGGCGAGTGATCTCTCAGTGCATGGAATCAATCAGAGACCCTATTCGATTTAATCCGAATGAAAACGAGGATCGACGAATACTCGCGTAGATGTGATGAAAATGAGCGTACTGAAAACTACCAAAGTCGTCAAAATGATCACTTTTTAAATGTTTGTTTTATTTTACAGGCATAGGTATATTTTTAAAGATTTAAATAATTTTTCGTAAAATAAATATATAAAATATATAAAAATACAGAAAATATATAATAAATATATAAAAATAAAATATATAAGATATATAATAAATATATAAAAATAAAATATATAAGATATATAATAAATATATAAAAATAAAATATATAAGATATATAATAAATATATAAAAATAAAATATATAAAATATATAAAAAAGCTTGTACTAAAATATATATATAAAATATACTTATACTATAAAGTTTCTTTATTTTTTTCGACTTCAATGTCTCTAATGGAAATTTTATTATGATTTATAGAGGAATTGAAATTATAGACGTGAAACAGCGTATTTTTAAAGATTTAAATAATTTTTTGTAAAGTATATAAATGAAAGCATGTACAGTCAATTATACTATAAAGTTTCTCTATTTTCTTGACTTCATAAC